AAGTGAAACTGCATATGCAGGGAAACAGGGAATAACCAAAGAAGCTAAAGCTGCAAGTGACAGGAACTGAATTTCAGTATACACGAATTAACCAACCAGCTCAAACTATTAGGAAAACAAACACTGCTCTCTTCCACTCTAATACTCTGTGCTATGAAGTTAACCCAAATTTTCCTCTCCAAAACTTGACTTTTTATATTTTTAAAATAAATACCTACCTTCACATTCCTTCATTCCTCTGACCTTACCCTGGATATCCACATGGCATCTACTTACCTGACTCATAAGCTTTCACTGAGACTCATTAGTCCGTGACCAATGTTCCAGCTCCATTCTGTGCAAAATACTTGAATGATCTCTTTTCTATTCCCATACTTTCCAATCAGTGTAACATCATAAAATCTCCTTTTGCTTAAAGACATCTCCCAATGATTATATAACTTAGGTTGGCATCTATCATTTAGGTTACCTAAGCATTGTTTTAACCAAAATGTATCACTATTCCTTTCAGGCCAGATGAATACATTTAAATAGGTGGTCTACTTTTCATCTCTTTTTCAGATAATTCTCTTATGCAATCACAGAAAATTATATATCAGATCATAAAATCCACTATTCTTTACTTTATAACTCAAGAGCCTTCATAAAGTAATGAGTTTCTCGGAACTAAAATGACCACAAGATAGCAACGCTGTAGTACTGCTACACCAGAAAATTGGAAATCTAATATTGTCTTCTTCTATAAACATTTCAGTTCTACCACAAATTTTGAGTTAGTTCTTTTATACTTAGTACACATACACACATTCAAAGGAAAAGCCACCAGCTCAAGACTGTCTTCATTCTTAATTCCAATACTTCATAAGAAAAAACATTATAACACTCATCTTACAACACATGACTGAAAACCATTTTTCAGTTTAAAGCACAAGTGCCTTCTGCAGTATATGCTGAATGGACTCTTTTCAGTAAAAACTCATATATTATAATCAATTTTAATAATCCTATTCTTATAAAAATGTCAGTAGTAACTTAATGCAATTTTAAACATTTTAATTAAAGCATCAGGGTTTGAAATGCAATAAATGAGTCTGAGATACTTCATAACATTATAGATGTCTATTTCAAACAGTATTTTCACACAGGTTCTTTTCTTCCAAGAGACTTAAACAAAATATATGTATTTTCATCCAAAGTCACAGTGTGCCACCTAGTGCCATAGGGAGATTTTACAGAGGCTTGTTCAAGAACTAAATGTTTCACCCAATCCAAAAATGGGCAGAGTACCTAAACTGACATTTTTCCAAAGAAGATATACAGATTGCCAACAAACACATGAAAGAATGCTCAACATCATTAATCATTAGATAAATGCAAATCAAAGCCATCATCAAAAAATCTACAAACAATAAATGCTGGAGAGGGTGGGGAGAAAAGGGAACCCTCTTGCACTGTTGGTGGGAATGTAAACTGATACAGCCACTATGGAGAACAGTATGGAGGTTACTTAAAAAACTGCAAATAGAACTACCATATGACCCAGCAATCCCACTACTGGGAATATACCCTGAGAAAACCATAATTCAAAAAGAGTCATGTACCAAAATGTTCATTGCAGCTCTATTTACAATAGCCAGGACATGGAAGCAACCTAAGTGTCCATCATCAGATGAATGGATAAAGAAGATGTGGCACATATATACAATGGAATATTACTCAGCCATAAAAAGGAACGAAACTGAGTTATTTGTAGTGAGGTGGATGGACCTAGAGGCTGTCATACAGGGTGAAGTAAGTCAGAAAGAGAAAAACATATACCATATGCTAACACATATATATGGAATCTAAAAAAAAAAAAGGAAAATAAAATGGTCAGAAGAACCTAGGGGCAAGATGGGAAAAAAGATGCAGACCTACTAGAGAATGGACTGGAGGATATGCGGAGGGGGAAGGGTAAGCTGGGACAAAGTGAGAGAGTGTCATGGGCATATATACACTGCCAAACGTAAAATAGATAGCTAGTGGGAAGCAGCCGCATAGCACAGAGAGATCAGCTCAGTGCTTTGTGACCACCTAGAGGGGTGGGATAGGAAGGGTGGGAGGGAGGGAGATGCAAGAGGGAAGAAATATGGTGACATATGTATATGTATAACTGATTCACTTTGTTGTAAAACAGAAACTGACACACCATTGTAAAGCAATTATACTCTAATAAAGATGTTAAAAAAAAACTAAATGTTTCAATAAAAAGCATACACATCAGCCTTAAAGTTTTTATGTTTGACTCTTCAGTATATAATCTAAGAAAGTAAGTGTTCAGAATGTTTACCAAGAAACGTATATACCTCTTAGCAAGGCTCCTCAAACAAAAGAAAAAAGAAGGCAAAAATAACCAACGTCAAGAATAAAAAAGGAACATCACTACAGATTCTAGAATCTCCAGAAGTCAAAAACATAAAAGGATGTTATAAATAGTATCAATAAATTTGAAAATTTTGATGAAATGCACAAAATCCTTGAAAAACACAACCAAACTTGGCATAAAAGGAAACGGGAAAACCTGAGTATTTATTAAAGAAATTTTTAAATTTTAAATACTAAAGAAATATTTACTGAAGAAATTCCACAAAAGACAATCCAGGCTCAGATAGGTTTCACTGGTGAATTCTCGTAATCACTGAAGGAAAAATTGCACTAAATTCTTCCAGAGAATAAAAAAGAAGGATCAAATCTCAATTCATAGAGTCCCACGTGACGCATTTAGGATATGAGAACCTAAGAGGACAAGAGAAGTAAATTACCAGTTCAAATTCTTTCAAAAGTAACAATGTGAAAATTACATATACATACATACACACACACTTGCAAACTGAATCCAGGTAAAATATCACAATCAAGTTGATTTTATTTCAGGAAGCAAGGCTGATTTAACATTTTAAAATCAATGAATGTAATTTGCCATATTAACAAAATAAAGGAGAAAAGTTTGATGCTCACTGCAGCAGATGAAAAAAGCATGTGATAAAACTGGACAACCATCCATGATAAAAATTCTTCACAAACTATAGCAAACAGCGTATTTAATGATAAATTCTTGAAAGAGACAAGGATGCCTACCATCACCACTTCCATGAATCACTATACTGAAGTTCCTAGCCCATGTAATAAGGTGAGAAAAAGAATGAGAGGGAAAATATAAGGTGAACCTGGAACAGCTTGTTACACTAGAAAGTATAGAAGGACTCAAAGAATAATAGGAGCATATGAAAAGACACAAGAGCCAGTTTGAAGGAGCTTCCACCAGCTAAATCAGGGACAATCTGAGCATCAAAATAAATGGCAGTAATAGATTATAACAGTAAATAAATAAAAAATCCAGGAAGCCTGAAAGACAGACAGGCACACAGATAACTGGGAAGAAAGCAAATATTTATTATCTACTTTAATTAATGTTTATTATCATCAGTGGATGATAAAACTAATGGGTGACAGTTTGATGAGTTGCAGGGTATTTACATAGCATCAAAGTATCTCTTGACAAATTAATTTCAAAAGAGAAAGCAAACTTTAAATAGAAGAACCTGACAATACCCTATATTAACCAAGTGATCAGAGTCAACATGACCAATAGCAGGACAAACTGACATCATATGCTTCATGATGTGATATACTGACAAGGATACATCATCATTCATGTGATATTCTGCCAAAAATACAAAATCTGATTCTAATAATAAGGAAACATGACCTGAATCGAGTGACATTCTTCAAAATAACTGTCCTGTACTCTTCAAAAATGGCAAAGTCAAAAGAGGCAAAGAAAGTCTGAGGAATTATTCCAGGTTAAAGGAGACCAAAGAGACATGATAACTAAATGGATCGAGAAAAAAAATAGCTATGAGAGATATTATTGAGATGATGACAAACTTTGACTACGTTGTGGCTTATATAATAATATTATATGAATGTTAAATTTCTAGATTTTGATCATTGAATTGTGGTCATGTAAGAGAATGTCCTTGTTCTTAGGAAACATACACTGAATATTTAGGGATAAAGGAGTATGCTAGCTTCAAATTGAGGCAGGAGATAGATGGGCCCCAGGCTGAGCAGCTGGAATCTGTCCCCTGTGGACAGATACTCCAAGAGAAAGATAATGGCAGGAGCAAGGAGGAGCTGAGTCTTGCTTGGATAAAAGATAAAGAGATCACATATTTCTCATTTTTGAGGACTAGGAGACCTCTCCAACTACACGTGTGCAGAAAGGCTCCTTTGGGGTCAAAAGGGGAGGGGGCGCCACCCCATAACAGGTGGTGTCAACCTCCCCAGAGGCCTCTACACTGGAATCCATCTTGGCAAAAAGATGCACACACATTTCAGGGTGGGCCCTAGGACAGGTCCCCTGTGGGAAAGAAATGAGATAATTGGCCAAAGGTAAACTAAGACCAGGAAGAAGTGCCCTATGTAAGTGATTTGAATCACCTCTCTGGTGCACTCCTCCTCATTAGGGAGGACACCCACACCCTTTCTCTTCAGGTGTGTATCTCTGCCTTGCTTCTGTCTTAAACTGTTTCTCTGTGTGCTCTCCCACTTGTGCTGTGTCTCTAGTAATAAACTTTGTTCCTGTTTTTACAGTTTTTGCCTCCTTGAGTGAGGGGCAAGAGCCAGGGCAACTTTGCTTCTAGCCTCTAGCCCCTGGTGGTCAAGTGGCTAGGATTCCTGGTTTTCACCCAGGTTACCCAGGTTCACTTTCTGAGCAGGGAACTAGGATCTCTCTTCAGGACCGCTCACTGCTGTCTCCTCGAGATCAAAATATTTTCAAATGGTTCATGGAAGAGTAATATATTTATGCACATAACATGCATATACTATATGCATGTTTGTGCAAATATATGTGTGTGCAAATACATGTACATGTCTATAGGTATATATGTATATGTGTTTTTATGTTTACATGATCTTTTTTTTCTGGCCATGCCACATAGCATGTGGGATCCTACTTCCCCAACCAGGAATCGAACCTAGGGCCCCTGCAGTGGAAGTGCAGAGTCCTAACCACTGGACCACCAGGGAACTCCCTATGTGTAATTTTAGATACACATATCGTGTATATATACATTTATACACATCTGTATGTTTTATATACACACACATACATATAGAAAAAGAGAGAATATGAGAAAAGAGATAAAATTCGCAATTGGTAAAGTTAGTGAAAGAATATATGAGAATTCCTTGTACTCCTCTTGCAACCTTTCTTAAATTTGAAATTATAGCAAAATAAAAGGTGCTAAAAATAATGATTATAAAGGATGATATTTTCATGAACTTCAGGTAAAGAAAAAAGTCTTAATCGGGACACAAAAAGCACTAATCATAAAGGAAAAAACTAATAAACTGAACTTCACTGAAATTAAGAACAGCTTCTACTAAAAAGACATCATTAAAAGAATGAAAAAGCAAGCCACAAAGAAGATATATGCATAAAAGAAACAAAGGTCTTGTACCCAGGATAGATAGAGAACTCCTTAAATCAATTAGAAAAAGAAAGACAACCCAACAGGAAAATGAAACTTGAGTAGGCACTTTACAAAAGATACATAAATAACCAATTACCATACAAAAAGGTACTCAAAAGCAGGCACCGGAAATACTAATTTTTTTTTTTAAATAAATGACTATACTGTACGGTGGTGAGGAGTTGGGGCAACTGCTTACACTGCTGACAGGAAGCTAAACTGGTACAACCACTCTGGAAATCTGGCATTACCTACCAAAGCACAAACCAGCCTCTCTTTATCTCTCTAGCCTCATCTTCCATTACTCTTTTCTTTTCTTTTTGATAAATTGAGTCTCAGAAATTTTATTTTATTTATTTATCTTTTTAATTTTATTTTTGGCTGCATCGGGTCTTTGTTGCTGCGCATGGGCTTTCTCTAGTTGTGGCAAGCGGGGGCTGCTCTTTGTTGAGGTACACAGGCTTCTCATTGACTTGTTGCACAGCATGGACTCTAGGTGTGTGGGTTTCAGTAGTTGCAGCACATGGTGCTCAGCAGTTGTGGCACATGGGCCCAAGGGCACATGGACTTCAGTAGTTGTGCAGCACGGGCTCAGCAGCTGTGGCTCACAGGCTCTAGAGCGCAGGCTCAGTAGTTGTGGTGGATTCTTAACCACTGTGCCACCAGGGAAGTCCCTCCATTACTCTTCTTGTCTGTCATGCTCCAACCCCACTCACTGACTTCTATTCAGTTCCCTATAGCCACCAAGCTCCCTCCTAATTCAAGGCATTTATATAGAATTCTCTCTGCTATTTAGAATGTTCTGCCACTCTACAATGTACACTTATTGGCTTCCTCCCCAGCATTCATGCCCTACATCTTTTCTAATAGTTCAATTTTGTTGGGGTCTCATGTGGTTCTAGAGAAGTAGACTTCACCCCTAACTCCAGGCAACCCATGACCTTGCCTAAGCCAATCAGCATATTCCACTCCTCCAGGCATAACAAGTAATTCTGGTGTAAGCATGTAACGTAAGGTGATCAATACACAGTGGACTTCAGATCTTCTCCTGAAATATTGGAGAAAAGACTCATTTTCCTACTGGCCATACATGAGGGAATACAAAGTTCTGAAAACTATCACTAACCAACTGAAGACCTTAAAGGGAGCAAACCTTAAGGTTATGGCAACAAAACAGAAGGCAGAACCAAGGGAAGAAAAGCAATCAAATCCTTGGTGAAACTGTTGAGCCAATAGATCAAGTCTTATCTCTACTTGCTACTGAAAGCATCCTAACTAAGACAGTGTTCCTCTTAGCCCAGCCAAGGCCTAATGATCTTTCAGTCCCAACTTAATGGTACTTTCTCAGAATGAGGTATCTTCAACTCCCAGACTTGGCCAGGACCCCTTTTATATACTCAAATCAACTTGTACACCTTTGTAGCACATCTCACAATTAAATTTTAAATTATATAATTATGTGTTTACCATTAGACTGTAAGCTTCTGGAGGACTGGATTTTGTTCATCACTCTAGCACAGTGCCCAGCACATAAATACATCATGAATGATGAATAATTGGAATGATAAAGAAATCATCATAGATAGCTAGTGGGAAGCAGCCGCATAGCACAGGGAGATCAGCTCGGTGCTTTGTGACCACCTAGAGGAGTGGGATAGGGAGGGTGGGAGGGAGGGAGACACGAGAGGGAAGAAATATGGGGACATGTGTATGTATAACTGATTCACTTTGTTATAAAGCAGAAACTAACACACCACTGTAAAGCAATTATACTCCAATAAAGAGGTTAAAAAAAAAAGAAATCATCAATAAATAATGGATGAAATAAATATATCATGAATAAATGAACAACATCACTGGGAAATAAGGTGCTCAACATAAATCCACAAGTAAAGTTCTGCCCTGCTAAGCACAAATTCTTTTTGATTTTACCATTTTGGATGAAAATCTCTGAATCACAGTTCCCTGACTTCTGAAACAGAGGCTACTGAAGCAACTTCCTCTTTTCTTGAAACTTTCAGGCTATCACTACAAACACCAACTTTTGTATGATATTGTAATATATAGCCTTCAGGAGCTATAGAAGGGCAGTGGATGACTGTCTTAAAATAAATGGGCCCAGGCCAAAGTGTTTGTAGACTTTTTGGGCTCTTTACTTCCTAATGATTTTGCAGAAAACAAAAACTTAATTCTTAATTATTTTGTCTTCTTCCCTATCAAGCTATCAGCTGTCAATCCTTATTTGTTAGAATTCTGGGAAATTTACTATTATGTTTCTGAATAAGAAACTCAAGAATTCTACAAGTACAGTGAATATATTTTCTGTGAGTGAATTATCTGTTATGGATGATCATAGGCATATTTCATTTACTTTCAGGGTTTTGGCCACATTCTTCAGAGTCACAATAAGCAGTGCTTTGCTATACCTTTCCCATTAAGCAGTTTAAAAACAACACAGATCAAAAGGAAATACTATGCAGCTGTAATAAGGAGTGAAGATCTCTAATGATCTAGGATATATTGCTAAGTGGGGGAAAGAAGTATTAGAATACAATATCTTTGGATTTGAGAAAGAGAATGATAAATATATATAAATTATATACATACTTATTTATATATTTTTCTTCTTTTTGAAATTATAAGCAATAAAGGATAAACCAAAAACTAGTCAAAATGATTACCCACGAGACCCATTAGGGTAGCTACTACCAAAAAAATAAAAAATAACAAGGATGTGAACAAACTGGAACCCTTGCTCACTACTGGTCGGAATGTAAAATGGTATAGCTGCTGTGGAAAACAGTATGGAGGTTCCTCAAAAAATCTGATATGATCCAGGAATTCTACTTTGGGTATATAGCAAAAAAGAATTAAAACTAGGGTCTCAAAGAAATATTTATACATCCATGTTCACAGCAGCATTTTCACAATAGCTAAAATGTGGGAGCAACCCTGTCTGTAGACAAATGAACGGATAAGCAGAATGTAGTATATACATACAATGGAATATTATTCAGTCTTAAAAAGTAAATTCTGACATATGCTGCTACCTTAGGATAGTATGCTAAGTGAAATAAACTAGTCACAAAAAGACAAATACTGTATGATTCCACTTATATGAGGTACCTAGAGTAGTCATAATCATAGAGAGAGAAAGTAAAATGGTGGCTGCCAGGGGCTGGGGGAGGAAAGAAGTAGGGAGTTATTGTTTAACAGGTATAGAGTTTCAGTTTTGCAAGATGAAAAGAGTTCTGAAGATGGACAGTGGTGATGGTTGCACAACTACATGAATGTACTTAATACCACTGAACTGAACACTTAAAAATGGTCGAGGGGCTTCCCTGGTGGCACAGTGGTTAAGGATCCGCCTGTCAATGCAGGGGACACAGGTTCAAGCACTGGGCCAGGAAGATCCTACATGCCGCAGAGCAACTAAGCCCATGCACCACAACTACTGAGCTGTGCTCTAGAGCCTGCAAGCCACAACTACTGAAGCCCACATACCACAACTACTGAAGCCCACGTGCCTAGAGCCCATGCTCCACCACGAGAAGCCTGCGCACCACAATGCGGAGTAGCCCCCGCTCGCCACAACTAGAGAAAGCCCACAAGCAGCAACGAAGACCCAATGCAGCCAAAATAAATAAATAAATTTTAAAAAATGGGTGAGATGGTAAATTTTGTGTATTTTACCACAATTTAAAACATGGAAAAGAAAAGACTGCCCACGAAGGGAAGAAGAGGAAGAAGAAAAGTCATACTTTTCTAAATGAATACTGTTTAATAGGAATTTTGAACCATGTAAACACTGCATATAATATTAAAACAAAGTAAAATCAAAAAGAAAAAGAAATATCAAAAATCAAAAAGAGGTTAAAACAGTGGAATAATTTTTTCAGCATACTGAGAGAAAAATTAGTCAATCTAGACTTCTATACTCAGCAGACCATCTTTCAAAATTAGGGCAGGAAAAAAAAGATACCTTAGACAAACAAAAACAGAGCTTATTAGGACTTAAAAGGCCCTCACTATAAGAATTTCTCAGAATATTAAAGACAGAAAGAAAACAATCCCAAATGACAGATTTAAAAAATTTAAAACTCAGAGCTTTTTTTATGTCTTTAAGATATGAAAGAAACTGGAGTGTGGAATGGGGCAGGATGAGATAGGAAAGGAGATTATAGGTAGAAACAGTCCTGCCTTTACACCCAAAAGAGGAGGCTCCTGCCCTGAGCCCTACACTTTAGGAGATTACACCTATCAAAATACCAAAACATCAAAAATATCAAAACCCAAAGATAATAAGTAACTAATTGAGGTTACAGGAATTAAGAGAGAAAGATTCACAAACTGAACTGAGACCTCCCCATCCTAAGAGAAGACAATGAAGAGAAGGAAGGAGGCAAAGCACAGCCTCTGTGCTGAGAAACCAAGGTAAAAACATCTAATTTTACTTAAGAATGGCCACCCTCAATCTCCCAAGGTGTCTAGGCAGCCTGGATTCCCCCAGAAACTGCTTTCCCTCCTCCTCCTGGGTTTGAGTGGGATAGTTTA